ACAGCCCCTCTGCCCTGGACACAGCCCCTCTGCCCATCATGACCATTCTGTCTTCACTGGAAGGCCCAAGTGAGCAGCTGTGTCCTCAGGGCAGTGGTGTCCATGGGTGGGGGACACCTCCTTTATCCCAAGTGGTCCCTCTCACCAGGCAGAACCCCCGATGGCCAGCCAGGTCATTCTGCTGGAGTCTCCTGGATGCCCCACCAAGGAGTGCCCCTCACCCCAACTGCCCCATGCACAGGTGCACACTCAGAGACACACACACAGGTCACACATTCATTCATACACACTCATATATATACATACACATATGTACGCACTCATATATACTGTACACATACTGGTGCATATATACGTGAACACACTCACATATGGGCACATTCACACACACATAGCCACACACTCACTTATGCACACACGTACACAGTCATACACTCATATAAACACATAGACACATGTACACCCATTTAAACACATGCACACATCCATACTTGCTCACTTATACACACAACACACACTCACATACCCAGATACACTGTTGCATGCATGCACACACCCACACACATACACCTCCACAGTACACACTTATATACACTCACGCACACATTAATCTACACATGCACACATGTACGCACATGGGTGCACACACATGCATGCATCTACTCAAATGAAACCACACATGAACAAGTCATGCACATGAACACACACTCATGTACACTCACATAGACACACATGCATATACAGATACACACAGGCACACCCATGTCCACGTGCACACATGTACACTCATGCAGTACACACATTCACAAACACAACTACACATCCTCATGTATAAGTAGACACACATGCATGCTTAGGCATGCACACACACAGACACCCTCACTCACACACTCACACATTTATACTCATGCTCACACACTCACTGATACACACTAGTGCATACTCATGCACACCCCCGGCCCCTGTGACCCACCTGGGCGCCTGCCCTGCTGCACCTCTGGTGTGGGCACCCTGAAGGTCTGGGGCCCCACAGTGGCTGATGGTCAGAGCCAGGCCCGCCTCTCAGCCCAGGAACTGGAGCTGGCTGAGGACCCAGGTGACTGAGTTTCGATTACAGCTGAGAGGGGTGCAGCCCTTCTGTCGTCTCGGGGTCCATGCAGGGTAGCCGCAGGCTTGGGGGGCTAGGAGAGGTCAGCTGAGGGTGGAGCCTGGCCCTCTGTGTGGCCATCCCTTTGTCTCCCCCTGCCCCTGTGGGGTGTCCCAGTATTGCTGCTCCAGCCCAGGGCTGCCAGGACGCTTGAGAGCTCGGAGGCAGATAGCAGTGTTCCCAAATTAGGCCTGAGGACGCTGGGGCGGCCCCTGCGGGTGGGTGGTCCTGGCAGGGGCGAGAAGGAGCTGGAGCCCCTGGGGGTCCCTTCCTAGCTGGGATTGGCAGCATCTGCCGGGAGTGGGGGCTCTGCCTAGACGGGGGGCGGGGGGGCAGCCTGGCAGGGGAAGACCTGTGTACCTAACCAAGGGCCCACACACGATGAGTACCCGTGGGTGCTTCCTAACCTACAGGGGTGATCTGTGTACAGCTTCCTGGTCTCCGACCAAGGGCCAGGCCAGGGGACGTCCACATGGTGGCTTGGAGCAGTGACCTGAGTGAGGGGTCACCCACCTGCCTGCCCGTGGGTTGGACGCCCCAGGCTAGGGACCACGCTGCCGAGAGTCTGAGGACTAACTCAGCTGCTGGCCGCAGACTCCTGACTTGTCCTTACTGTGAGTCGATCCTGACTGGAGGTGACCTGTGCATTTTCCTAGCAAGCCCCCTGCCTGGTGGGTGCTGTCCGTGAGTGCTGTGGCCGTTGCCATGAATGAGGGAGCCTGCCGAGGTGGGGAGTGGTGTGGGAGGGACGGTCGAAGTCAGGGCAGGTGGACAAGGCTGGAGCGTGGAGGTCTGTCCTTGCCTCGTGGTAATGGGCAGTCAGAGGTCAGACATGGCCCCTCCACGGCCACTTATCATAGGAGGTGACAGCTGGAGGGTCTGCTGGCTGATGAAGTGTGAACGTGAAGCAGTCAGGGTGGGCTCGAGTGTGACAGTTATGAGCCACGTGTGATCATTAAGGTTATGCACCCAAGTGACAAGGCCAGGATTCTCAACGTGATGTCAGTTCCCTCCACTCTGTGATCTGATGCCATCCTCCTCAATCCACGATGCATGTCACTGCTTTCCATGTCTGTGTTGGAAATCCAGCCCTTATATGTTAGCGAGGGAGTGCTTCTGGGGTAGTGGGTTTCCTACTAGGCTGTTAACTGCAAGGTCAGCATTTCGATCCCTGGCTGCTTCACTGGAGAAAGACGCTTTCTCCTCCTGTAGAGACTGACGGCCTCAGAAACCCACAGGGCAGTCCCACCCTGTCCTGCATGGCCTCTGGGGCTCACCGTCCACTGGATGACAGGGGGTTAGGTGCATGTTAGTGAGGCAGTGTCTGGGGTGTGCATGTTAGTGAGGCAGTGTTTGGGTGTGTGTGTGTTAGTGAGGTAGTGTCTGGGTGTGTGTGCATGTTAGTGAGGCAGTGTCTGGGTGTGTGTGTGTTAGTGAGCACTGTCTGGGTGTGTGTGTATGTTAGTGAGGCAGTGTCTGGGTGTGTGCGTGTTAGTGAGGCAGTGTCTGGGTGTGTGCGTGTTAGTGAGGCAGTGTCTGGGTGTGTGAGTGTTAGTGAGGCAGTGTCTGGGTGTGTGAGTGTTAGTGAGGCAGTGTCTGGGTGTGTGCGTGTTAGTGAGGCAGTGTCTGGGTGTGTGCATGTTAGTGAGGCAGTGTCTGAGTGTGTGTGTGTTAGTGAGGCAGTGTCTGGGTGTGTGCGTGTTAGTGAGGCAGTGTCTGGG